AGCTTTTTTTTTTTTTTTTTTAAAAAAAAAAAAAAAATGGACATCACAATGAAAAACATCAAAAAATTAATTTCAAAATGCTAAAAGAAAAGGAAAAATTATTAAAAGACCAGGAAAAATAATTTACCTCAATTATCCGTGCAAATCACAAAATTATTACAGATAGATTAGACATGCTAGAGAAAGACATTAATAACAACAAATAAAAAGTATTAAATATAGAAAAAGACTTACGCGACAATAAGGACAGGCTTTTAAAGAAAATGATATCTCGGAAAAAATATCACAAATAAAGAAATACTATGACAAAGAAATCAATTCATTATATAATAAATCTAGAAAATCGATCAAGAAGGAACAGCTTAAGAATTGATGGGCTACAAGAAACACACGAAGACTTCGCTCAAAAAACAATATATCATCGAAGAAAGTTATGGGAAGAAGTAAAAAAACTAAGAAGCGAAGGTAAATACGCCATTTTAAAATACGACAAAATATTTACACAAGATTTAAAAAAATAACGCTACGGATTTTTTTTTCTTACTAAACGCGTAAACGCGTAAACGTAAACGCGTAAACGCGTTTTTTCTTACTAAACGGTAAACGCGTTTTCAATTTTAAATTTTAAAATAATGATAAATAAAACAATAGATTTTGAATCGACGTAAATTTTTCAAAGGAATAATTTTGACTCTCGATATTTTAAAACTGAAACTTTTAAAACTGAATTTAAAATTAATAAAAATAATTTTACAGTAATTCACATAAATATAAGAAGCATAAATAAAATATTTGACAAACCTCCTAATAGATTGTAATTATTTATTCAGTATGATTTGTCTAACAGAAACTTGGTGATCTAACGAATCTATCCAAAATAACTCTAACTTTCAAATTCCCAATTATAAATTAATATCTTCTGAGAGAAAAACATGCAAAAAGGGAGGAGGGATTGCAACTTATGTTCGGAATGATCAAGCAATAATAGTAAGAAAAGATCACTCCATTTCTAATCCCGATAGTGAGGTCTTTACAATAGAAATCATAAACTCCAAGTCTAAAAATATTATAGTTTCTACCTGTTATAGACCACCTGACGGTAATATTAAAACTTTTTCTAATTATCTAGATAAAATTTTTCTCAAAATCAATAAAGAACAAAAAAAGTTATTCTGTATTGGGGACCTCAACATAGGTTGTTTAAAGTACAATGAGTTTCCGATTAATAAATTATTTTTTGATAATATGTTTCAACATTGTATTTTTCCAATTATTAATAAACCCGCACGAGTAACCTCAAACTCTATTTCTGCCATAGATAATATACTAAGAAACTCATTTCTAGATACCTCCTTAAAAGCAGGAATAGTAAAAATTGATATAACAGATCATTTTTCAATTTACTTTACAATAACAAATGATACAAGAATAAATAATGATTAAAAATAAGTAATTAAATTTTCTATTCAAAATTTTAAAGACACTATCACCAGTAGATTGGGTTAAAGTGCATCAAAAATGTAATCTTGGAAACACAAACTCTGCATATAATACTTTTTCAGATATTTTTCTAAAGCGCTGTAATAACCATTTTCCAATCAAAGAAAAAGAAATCAAAGTAAAATACTTGTTGCTGTCCATGGATCACGAACGGAATTAAAAATCTTCAAAAACAAAACAAAAACTATACGTTAAATATTTGAAAAACAGAAATGAGGATAACCTATCTACTTACAAACAATACAAAAATCTTTTCGAAAAAATCAAAAAACATTCTAAAAAAATTTACTACTCTTAATTACTTCAAAAAACAATAAAAAAACAAACATGGAACATCGTGAAAGAAATAATCAGGAAAAAAAAAACAAAAAAACAAATAGCTACCAAATAGAATTATTATGAATGAAACCGAACACGATGATAAGAACTCAATTGCCGAACACCTCAACAATTTCTTCGCAAACATTGGCCCAAACATGGCGTCTAAAATTTTAACTCCAAAGGAAAACATCTTACAGATCTAAATAGCGAACTAATTTTCAATAGATTTGGCTATGAAGAACTCGAAAATGCAAAAAAACTCTTTAAAAATTAACAAAGCACCAGGAATTAATGAAATTTGAAGCAATGTAGTAATGAGTATTTTTCCGATAATAAAAAAACCCTCTTCGAAATATTTAAATCTTAAATTATAACAGGAACCGTTCCAGAGAAATTAAAAATTCCAAAAATTGTACCAATAAATAAAACTGGAAAACCATATTTACTAAACAATTATAGACCAATCTCAATCCTTCCTGTATTCTCAAAACTTCTAAAATAATAATAAAAAAAAAAATTTATAATCAACTATACAAGTATTTAACAAACAACATCTTCAATAAAAAACAATTTGGCTTTCAAAAGCAACATGCAACCAAAAGTGCAATCGTAGATCTTGTAAATAGCATCATCTACTCATTTGATAATAAAGAATTCGTTCTAGGAATCTTTATAGATCTATCGAAAGCATTCGATACTGTTGATCATGAAATCCTGCTCAGAAAAATGGAAAAATATGGCGTAAAAAATCTTGCATTACTCTGGTTTATAAACTTTTTGCTAAACAGACAGCAATGTGTTAATAATGATGAAAATATCTACTCAAAAATGCTAAAAATTGATTGTGGTTTCCCCAAGGTTCCATTCTAGCTCCCTTACTGTTTTTAATATACATTAATGATCTTCCGAAAGCCTCAAACAAACTTGATGTCATAATGTTTGTAGATGATACTAATTTTATTCATCCCCGCTATTTACAGAAGCAACGAATATTGAACTTGAAAAACCTAATATTTGGCTAAAATCTAATAAATTATCTTTAAACACAGAAAAAACTGAGTGCATCTTATTCCATCCCAATCAAAAAAGAAAAAAACTACCAAATATATTGCCATTGCTAAAAATAGGAAACAAAAATATCGAAAGAACCACAACAACTAAATTTCTAGATTAACTTATTGATGAAGGCATTTCATGAAAAGTACATATTGACTATTTAAATACTAAAATAACCAAAAACATTGGCGTGCTATACAAAGCTAGACCAATGCTATCCCAAGAAAATCTAAAACATCTTTATTTCTCATTTATAGAGGAAGCTTGCGTAATATGAGCAGGTTCCTAAGATGGTAAAACCTCTTTTATAATAATGATATTTTGAATGATATTTTAAGACTAATGATATTTTCGTGAACTTTTTTAGTTAAGTTTATTCATACAAGTTCGACGGTGTTATTTATTTGACAAGTTTAACAGTGTTATTTATTTTACAAGATCGACGGTGTTATTTATTTTACAAGTTCGACGGTGTTATTTATTTTACAAGTTTGACGGTATTTATCTTAATTTCTTGGTTGTATAGTTAATATCCTTTGATTGTTTTACTGTTAAAAAAACTTACCATTTACCCGTTACCAACTTACCCGTTATAATTTTTTATTATTCAATATTTTGTAATTACGTCAGAATGAATCAAAAATTTATTATATCCTCTATATTTTATGCTTATCTACTGCTAATTCCATTGATCGCATGAGATGATACATAAGCTGTTCTAATGGTATTTAACTTATGATAATACTTGATGAAATTGCTTAAGATGATACGTTTTTAGACGCATCTTATGCGTTTAAAAACGTATCATCTTAAGCAATTTCATGCGTCTTTTTATAAAGAAAAGCGCGTTTTTTAAAAGTTATTCTCAGCGGGGCTTTATTTTGAGCGAAATTTTTTTTATGGTTGAGATAATTACTTTTTACTTTTTACTTTTTTTGTGTGATTATTTTTTGTTATTTTGAGTTTTTTTGAGTTCCATAAAAAAAAGCTCATCTAAGGAAACTAGTTATCTAAGATGAGCTTAGATAAACAAAAAGTTAATTATCTTACCAACTTTTGATTATCTTAAAAGATAAGATAATCAAAAGTTGGTGTAAATCTGGTCATCATCAAAGCAATCGGTGCTTAATTGAGGTTAGGAAAATGTTATATTTGTTTGTCTAGAGAGATTGCATTTTAGTAGGTACGTGTGTAAAAATTTCAAACCATTTGTTTATATAAGTATTATATATGGTACGAAAGAGTTTTGAATTTGTAATTCCATGGTGAAAATTTTATGAAAAAAGAATAATTACAAAAAAAGTTATGACCATTTAAGTAACATTATTTCTTATAAAGGATTGCTTAAGAAAAATGCAAGCATCGTATAAAACTCGCGTTCGGCTAACGGTAGCTTAGTAATTAAACTTCATTGTTAATTAGCGCATAGTTTTGCTTTAGTGAAATGTGCAAAACGATTTAATAACGTTATTAAAAAAATTTCGAAAATAACAAAATATTTTTAATCCTTAAAACCTAACAAAATTTATAAAAAGTTCCATATATGTATAAAAGAAAAAAAAAAAATATCGCGTATTTACAATATTATATATATATATATATATATATACAAAATATATATATATATTTGCTATTAAATATGTATCAAGTCTAAGTTTTCTATAGCGTATAGTTGAACTTTAAAGACATTCATAGCCTTTCCGCTCTTTATTTAGCCTTATTTTTATCGTTACTAATGAATTTCAATTACTTTGGACGAAAGTTTAGATTTAATACAAGTTAATGGAAATTTATTATGTCAATATATAAAGATATATATAAATATATATCATAGGCAAAAGCGTAACATTTTAGTAGGGGCCAAAGCACAAAAAAAAAAAAAAAAAAAAAAAAAAAAAAAAAATCGTAATATACATAATAATAGTTGAAATATTTTTCAACTAAAAACCTTCTTAAAAAAGGATACTACTAAACAATTAGGGGGGAAGGGAGGTCATGCCCACCACGGCTCCCCTTTTTGTTTCCTTCCGTGGGCCCATATACATATCTATCTATCTAACAATATATAAATTCCAACAGACTGCAAAAAATACAAATATTTTTTTTAAAACATACTTCTTTAACAATAAATTTACACTATAATAGTTATTTTATTTGCTTAGTTATGTTTTTATCAGAGTTGTGGCTTTGAAAAAAGCCTAGTTTTTGAAGTAAATAAAACTGTGACATCCATAGAAAGAGTCGAACCTTTAGTATGCAATGGAAACCACATATAATGATATCTAAAATAAAATAAACCTCTCAATTAATACAGCCATACCTATTTAATTAGGATACCCTGTGTCCCGGATAATAAATAAATATATAACTGTTATCACAGAAAAATAAAAATACATTAGATATTTAGCACAATAACTGAAAAACACATTAACAAACATAATCAATCTCTAAATAAATATGATCTTACCGATTTAATATTGAAATGAAGAAGATCAACAAACATCAAAGCAAGCGTGTAGTACTCATCACGTTGTGTAACCTTGCAATTATAGATAAGATGAAATATATTTAAGATATATAAAATTAAAAAAAAATTAAAAATATCAAGACTTACAAGCAATTACTGTATAATAAATTAACATTTAACTGTTAATTACTGCAAAATAAATTAATATCTAACTATAATAACATCTTACTGAATTATTTAATATAATTTTGAGGACTTTAAGACAGTAGCAAATTGCAATCTTTTAGCATGCTATTAGTTAAAACCTTGCAATAACAGATAAATAAAAATACATTAGATATTTAACACAATAACTGAAAAACCCATTACAAAATAGAGAAGAGGAGAATGATTTCCTATATAAAAAACAAAAAACAAAATCACCTAACTCTTGATACACAACACATTTTACTATTACAAAACAGAAAAAATATTAAAAGTTGATCCTTCAATACTGTACAAAAAAGAAAAAGATACCTGTTTCAGATGTAAAGTCTTGAAACAAACCATTTTGCAGACATTCACATAATGTCAAGCCAGAACACAAAAATATCTTGAATATGGAATAATTATAGATCAAAGTACCACATGTGTGAAAAAGCATATATATTCTGTTCCCTCTATAGCGTGGTAGCAATCTTCTGGGCAACTCGTGTTGGTCCAAAAAGAACCCAAAACCCTTTGGATCACTTATGAATAACATAAAGAAAGTTAGTTGGCTATTGCAAATAGAATGCGAAACAAAAACATGCAATAATTATAATATTTATTTTAGTTTAACTCAATTAAAAATAATTTTATTCACAAACCTACACTATATTAAAGTAAAAGAATTATAAATACCTTTTGCATCCTTGTAGCGAAGTTTGTATTGCAGAATTGTGTAGAAAATGAATTGTGTAGTGAATGAAACCAGGAACTTAACACACAAGCATGTCTTATATAAGTGTTCTAATATCTGCTGAGTAGTGTTTTTGAGTTTTGGTGTTTTGTGTTACTTGCTGAATTTCCTCCAACTCTTCCTGTAAAATCAGTATCAATATCATTTTGCAGTACAAGAATTGCATAATTTTTGTCAGCAAGTTGTTGGTATAAAATTGCCTTTTGATAAGAAAACTTGGTTTCGTTGAATGTTAACTGTTGTTTCAAACAAAAAAATTAAATCTCTTTCTCATAACCTTTTTCTGGGACTTAACTAGTCAGCTCTCTAACTGGATAGTGGTTCATGAGAAGAGGTTTCTATAGCAGGACCAGATAAAAGAGATAAGTGACCACTGTTTGATACAGATAAAACACTGATTTATTGAAAGGGAAATGAAGAACATATAGCAATGTGAATTGAGGTTGCAATTAATTGCGATGTTTGTGCCATAGCAGATGTTATTATTTGGTATGCACAGAGCATGTTGCAGATGTCAAAAAATTGTTTTGAATCGTGTGAAAAATGGTTTACAAAGTTTTTTGATGTTTTAACTAGTTGCAGAATCTAATTAGTACAAACTTTGATGTTAAAATACTTATTGATTACTTCTACGGTTACTTTATATGAATCCTTGTTAGTTGCCAATATATGCAGTGGGCGTCCATTGCTACAACCAATATTTAAATGAGCTGGTAGTGTAAAACTACAAGTTAACTAACTTTTAGCTTTACCATCAAGTAGAAATGTTTCCTTTTTAGGTCCCACGATGCACTAAACCAAACAATCATAATACAACTATTTAATTGGGTTGGCTTTTAAACACAACTAACTAATTTAAAAAATTACTATTAACCTATAAAAAGATGTGTAGATACATTTATTATTATTCGCATAGATAAAACATGTATATAATTTTTATGTATCATAGAGCTTAAGGTGGTTATATAGTAAATTCTGGGTATGGAAAAATGCTGTTTTTGTTTTTAATATTTTTTTTTTTGCATTTTATGCTGAATCCCCATATAAAAGCGTCATTTAATTTTTATTTCACCATATTAAATTATCTTTAGGAGAACTTTGCCTTTAAGGCAAAGTTCTGCCAAAGATAATTTAAATTACTTACTCTTTTCACACACCGAAATTAGTTTCAAGGCAGCCTTGAAACTGATTTTGATGTGTGAAAAGAGTACGCAATAAAAAATATATACAATAAATAACACAACAAATGATTATACAATTATTTAAAAAAATCAACAGTATTCTTAGTAATAAATGACTATTTTAAAAAAGTAAAACTTTTTAATGAAAGTTCTTATAAAATATTTTATTATTATGAATAGAAAAACAAGTATACTGAATGCTCACTGGCTAACACTGGCGAATTGCCCCCCCCCGCCTTAAACTATGTAACGGAAGTGGAAATACATACCTCCACTGCACGATAAAATAGTGTGTCTGGTCATAAATATTTTTTAATGAAATTTGGCAGGCACATAGAAAATAGATTTATACAGTTGCCTGGAAAATTTAAAAAGTGTACCAACATACCTTCAATATTAATGCACCTCCGAAACAGAAATAAAATTTTGAAACTGAATAAAAATCACTGGTAATTGTAAAAAAACAACAGAATTTATAACAAGAAGTAACAGTAACAGTAGCAGAAGCAGTTTAATAAAGTGTAACAGTAACAGTAACAGTAAAAAGGGTGGAAATTGAACCTCCACTGGATCGAAAACTACGTTATGTGGTCATGAATATTTTTAAATTATATTTTGCAGGCACATAGAAAATTGATTTATACAGTTGACTAGAAAATTTCAAAAATGTACCAACATGCCTTCCATATGAATGCACTTCCAGAAAAGGAACGAAATTTTAAATAGCAATAAAATAACTGAAAAATTTATTAAACATAAAAAAAACACATAATTTATTCAACATTAAACATTCGATTTTTTTAATAAAGTCTGAGTTGATATAAAATTTTTTAAAAAAGACAAATAAATACATCCTTACCACACCGACTTCGAGCACGCTGTGAAAAAAAAGGTTCCAGTTTTTAACTTTGAAATCGGTGCCGTAAAAAGCCAGATACGCACGTACCTAATTTTAGTTTAAAAAAACACTTTATATTTAATAACAATTTATTGACCGCATCTATTTTAACTTTGGTACACCTACCGCACTGTTCTTTTAAACAAGCCATGACACAAATAATTAAGACTGAAATAGAGAATCAAAAGAAGAGGTTCAATTGGTTCGTTTTGTTCGGATTTTTTATATATTTTTTGATGACATTTTTAACAAAGTTTAACCAATTAAAAATAAAATTGATATGCACGCATTGTATTGGGTTGTTTATAAAAAAAAAGTTTATGAAATTGTTGTTTATATAATTGTCGCGTTGTTTTAAAATAATCAAACGGGTAAATATTAGTTAAAGCTAATATAAAAACGAAAAAAACGAGGATTTAACTTGAGAAAGGGGCTTAAAAAAAGAAGCGGAAGACTAAAAGTATATTCAAGATTCCAAAAATATACAATTTATTTGTCTTAACTATATTATTAAGTTCCATATTTACATTATCGTTATGTTGTTATATCAATTTTAATAATACAAGTTATTTTTATACATAACTATTACATTCGGAAGATAATTAACTAATCGCAGAGAGGAATATTTTTTAAAAAATAGACAAGTAGAGAAAGTATGGGTAAAGTTCCATATACATAATTCATTTATATATACATAAACAGGTAAGACTTTTCACTATCAAATTTAATCACTGTCATTAAAAGGAATGACAGCTGTTTTAGACCTTGTTGGAGCCTCAAAGGTAATTATAAAAGACTGTTTGCTTTTATTGGAGTGCCATTCTTTATTATCATCTTCAAAAAAAGTTTCCCAATTGTCTTTGTTGTTTGAACTATTTGTTTTTTGAAGAAGATCTAAAATAATCTTCATTTGAGTCTCAATAATTTGTATTTTCGCATTAATATTATTTGTTTTTGCATTAAACTCATTACGAATATTATCTATGGGTAAAGTTTGAAATGAAATTTCTTTTTCTTTATGATAACTATAATTTAAAAAATTAGCTGAAACGTTTAAAAAGCTAGCTGAAACGTTGCTGTCTTCTGATCGATTTGATACAACATGATCAATATCTGTTACGTCTTTTTCAGAATCGGTCTCCTTTTTGACATCAGCAGAAAAATTTTTATCAAAAGTTGTCGGTTTTTTATCAAATAATTTAGTTTTGTTATCAAAAGCCATCGACTTTGGTTTATTATTTATCTAAATGATACAAACAACAAAAAATATATAAATATTACAAATATATTTTAATGATTAATTAAAATAATGTTTCTATATATATATATATATATATATATATATATATATATATATATATATATATATATATATATATATATATATATATATATATATATATATATATATATATATATATATATATATATATATATATATATATATATATATATATATATATATATATATATATATATATATATATATATATATATATATATATATATATATATATATATATATATATATATATATATATATATATATATATATATATATATATATATATATATATATATATATATATATATATGTATCTATACCAGGAAAAAAAGATAAACATTGAGGCTTTTGACTTCTTTGTCTAGGTTTATGTTTAGTTCTAGTTTTGAACCCTGGTAAATTTGAATAGTGTTTTAGTTGGAAACTAGATCTGATTCGGTGGCGTAATTAGTTAGGACTTGAGGAGCCCTAAGACAAAGCTATCCACGGGTTTCTAATATTGAATAAATTTCTATCTGGTAATTTGTTTCCTAAAATAATTTCAGATTTGTCAAACCATAAGATGCATAATATGTTTTTAAAGTTAAGCTGAGCTCATTTGAAGTTGCACTCAATTATTGTGTGCAACGTCAAGGGATTTTGTCATTAGGTACGAATTAAGTAATACATTAAAACTATTTTGTTAATTTACGCTGATGATAATGTCATTAATACATTATAACTGTAAAAATAACTGTACAAAATTTTTGTAATGAAGTTTCTCATTGAAAAATATTTTTATAGGTATTTTATTTATTAAATAACATTAGGTCTTTTATTTATTAATTTATCAAATATATTTAATCAACGTTATTATTATTTTTTTTTATTAGTTTATTATACAAATGGGAGTAAAAGAAAGAATTACCTCCTTCCCCCTCCAAAAAAAAAAAAAGGTTACACGTAACAAAATTCTTGATAAAAGTTTTTTAGATAAAAAGCATATTTATGAGCAAGATAATCTTGATAAAGTTAAATACATATAAAGTATATTTATTTGTAAGCTATTTTATTAGGACTTAAAATTTTAGGAATGTAGAAAGCTTTCTTAAAAATTTCGATTTTTTGCATTCTTAACATTTTAAAGTTATTGAAGAAAATCGTAGAAAGTTTCTTAACATTTTAAGGTTGCAAAAGTTAACGTATTTTATTGCAGATTTAAAGAACCGTAGAAGAGTACAATAGAATTTAATGGGTTCAACTTACTTGACTCTAAGCAAATCTTAACGAATCTAAAATTGTTTAAATCAGTTTGAAAAACTGCTTTTTTTTTTTTTTTTCAGCTTTCAAACAAAAACATGAACGGTTTAGTTTCAATTTTTATTTTAATTTTTTATTTGTAAATTAATCAGCCACTGTTTTAAATGTATTCATTTATTCAGGTTATATATTGTCATGCCAAGATGCACTGAAACAATAAAAGAAAACTACAGACAAAGAAAATGGTTTCGGCAAAGAATCTCGTATGCAAATTAATGACGCAATTTTCGTCAGTACAACCACACAGTGACAGAATTTTTGATGGGAGGGGGGGGGGGTGAGGGTAATTTTCAGTTGGAGGGAGGAGGGAGGGAGTTTTGATTCACATTTTTAAGATTATCTGTACTATTTTTGTTAAATTGTATCTCGTTTGCAAAGTTAAAGTTAATCATAACGCGGTTGCAAAATTCTGTCGAATAACTACTTGGAATCATACATGTTGACGTCTATCAAGAAAAGTCTACTTAGTCCGTGTAAAGATATGCATCTTCATCCTCTGAATTAAGAAACCTACTAAAGAATAGTTATTGTTATACTTTGCACGACACTCTGTATATTTTTTTAGTTCATTATCAATTGATTAATTTGTGATTTCAGTCTTCATGACATGACTCATTTTTGAGAAAGTTGCGGACCGTCTTAACAATATATGTATGTTGGGAAGGCTCATTAATTATTTACCTGACCGGTAAAATATATTTAGCCAGTTAGCCACTGAAAATTAGATAAATATTGATGATTCTTAATGATAAAGCAATATTGATAATTCTTAATGATTAAACAACGTAAATGGTTTTTAATTATTAAAAAGTATATATAATATAAACAGTAAATAACAAATAGCATAAATATAATATAAATTATGTTAAACAGTATTTAAATTTAATTTTATTGTATTAAATTTTTTTTTATTATTTATGTATAATTTTATATAACTAGTTATATATAATTAATCAATAACAAAAGATAATAAATTGACATACTTTTTTTGTTATATCAAAAGAAAGTTTAAATGTGTATTTAAACAAATCCCTTTCCATAGGAAACAAACTAAGTGACTCAAAAATACCATCAATGCTTACACCATGTATTTCACCAAACGAGTTGGCTTGTACTTCACATATTGATTTTGACGGTTCCATTACTGGGCGTAAACCAAACGAGTCACCCGGTCCTAGCATTTATTGATATAATACAATTTTAATTAAAAATAAAAATAATAAAATATATAGAAATAAATATAATTTAGACTTTACCAATAAGACCGATGAGACTACTACCATCTTTTACCTCAAATGACCCACAAGTTACAAAATAAATAGAAGTTACTAACTCTCCTTGGTATATAATTTTATCACCGGGAGACGTACGTAACGTCCAGAAAAATCTTGATAATGCTCTCAGAGCATTTTTGCTCAAATGACGAAAGGCTGGTTCATTCTTAAATACATCTCCGTGAATATGAAAGCATAGATCTGATTGTAGGCTTCGAGGAAATTTACTCATTATCTAATACAAACAACATTTTATTCTATTAAATATTTTATTTCAGTTTTTTATTATTTCTAATATTTTTTTTCTTAAAAAATAATATAAATATAATCTGTGAGTATAAGTCAGTGGTGGTGCCTGCAGTTTTTGGTCTTTGAGAGTTAACTATCAAACAAGGAGCAAACTCCAAACATTTATATGTTTTTACTTATGTCAAATAAGGATGCATTAAAAAAAACTGCAATGATTTGAACTTGGAAACAAGTTCAAATCATTGCAGAAGTGGAAAAAAGCCCCAAATATTTGACTGTACCTGCCCCAAACGTGAGAGCAACAAATTGATTAAATAGTTTTTGTACTATTTTTAACTAGACTTATAGTTAGTTAGTTAGTTAGTTAGTTAGTAGTTAAACTGTAACTGGACGAATCCAGCGAGTTTGGTTTATCACACTTTGACAGCATTAATCCAAATATATATTAAAAATGTTTAGTTAAAACTTCTTTGATTTGGCGTTATACTCATCTAATCTATTCTTAAATTGATTGACAGTTTTTGAAGTAACAACAGTTTCCGGTAAAGCGTTCCATAAATTGGCCGTACGATTTAATAAAAAATGATGCCGAGGTAAATAGTTCACAATTTCTCTTTCATATTTAAGATTGTGACCTAGAGTAATTGAATCAATTTTAAGCTTCGGTTCATTAATTAAATCAATTTCCTCAAATATGTTAAGTAATTTAAACACTTGTATTAAATCCCCACGTTCCCTCCTTGTTTTTAATGAAGATATATCTAATATTTCCAATCTCTTTTCATAATTAATTTTCCTTAATGATGGAACTATTCTAGTTATCCTGTGTTGAACTTTTTCCAAAAGTGATATGTCTCCTTTAAAATAAGGTGACCAAACAGGTACTGCAAACTCAATAAGAGGTCTAATAAATACCTTATACAATGTTTTAACCAATTTTGCATCAATTCGTGAAAATGTCATCTTTAACATATCCATCATTGAATTTGCTTTAGAAGTACTTGATATAATTAGTTTTTTCCATTTCAAGTTTGTTGAAAAATATACACCTAAATCTCTCTTGCATTCAGAATCTTTCAGCTCAACACCATTTAAAGTATATTTCAATCGTGGATTATTTGTACCATAATGCATTATAACATATTCACTAGAATTAAAACCCAAGAGCTACTTTTTAGACCATTCCTCTGCACTATCCAGATCTTTTTGCAAGCTATTTTCCACATTTATTTCATTCACTTTTAAAAGAATTTTTGTATCATCTGCATACAATACTGACTTATTTTTAAATATATTTGATATATCATTAATAAAAATAATAAATAATAAGGGCCCTATAACGGATCCTTGCGGAACACCACTGAAGACTTTTCGCTATGAAGAAACAACATCACCTTGGATAACTCTTTGGATTCTGTTTTTAAAAAAAGCTTCAATCCATTTTAATAATAAACCACTAATTCCATATGAAGATAGTTTAACCAATAGTCTTTTGTGAGAAACAGAATCAAAATCTAAAAGTGCTTCATCTACCAAAATACCAATCGATAAATTAAATGAAATATAATCCAACGCCTCTAATAAGTTTGTTATACAAGACTTCCTTTTAACAAAACCATGTTGTGACTTAATTATTATATTAATTTATATTTCATTAAATATGATTGTATGCAGTCTCTGACTATACCTTCCATAATTTTACAAGTAATTGACGTCAATGACACTGGTCTATAATTTGCAGCTTCTAATTTATCTCCCTTTTTGAATAGTGGTGTAATATTTGCTGCTCTCCATTGAGTTGGTAGTTCACTTTTAACAAAAGGTTCTATAAAAATTAAAGTTAATGGCAATGCTACAGAATCCGCACAATTTTTCAAAATCAACGGATGTATAGAATTAACTCCATATGTTTTATTGATATCAACAATCTACTTAAAACATCAAAATAATCTATTTTAACTGCATCAATAATAATATCCCCTAAATTCTCGATTTGTGGAAGCTCTTCTGTAGAATTTTCGATGGTAAACACATCTTGAAATTGTTTATTTAAAATTTCAACAATTTCATTTTGATCATTTGTTACGCAACCAGTTTGATCTCTTAATGCTTTAGTTACTTGTTTAATCGTTTTTTGACTATTCACATATTTATATAGCAGTTTCGGATTTACCTTTGAGTTTTCAACAAGATCATTTTCATAGTAACATCTTGCTTTACGCGATTCTATTTTCACAGTTTTGCAAATATTTTTATATTTCATTATTTTATTCAAATCTTTCCAGTTCGATGATAAATTTTGATAACACAAATTTTGTTTTGAACGTACTAGAAGACTTACTTCATCAGTAAACCATGGATTATTTTTTCTTTTCTTTCTTGAATTTACGTCAATTATTGGAACAAAAGCATTACACGATTGACTAATTTTTTCAATAAACAGATCATACATAAATTGAACTGATAACCCATCAAATATATAATTCCAGTCAATTTTATCAATACTTAGGCTTATTTGTGGATAGTCACATCTACTGTAATCAAATTTATACTTTGGATAATTTTCCATCAAATTAAATCAAGTTAAATTTACAAGTTAAAACCAAATGTTTATGATTTATATTTCCTAGAACAGGGTTAGACTCAAGTTGATAGACTCGTTCATTGTTTTTTGTAAAAATAAGATCCAAGGTATTTTTTTTAACCTATTGTTCATTTTGAAAGGTTGGAATTGATACGTGTTGGTACAAAAAACATTCATATATAATATTAATAAGTTCATTTTCAACAGAATCTTCACCTACTAAAATATCACTAACGTATCCATTCGACCATTTTACATTTGGAAAATTAAAATCACCAATAGTTAACAAATCAGCAAAATTATTTTTTGCTACTAATTTACAAGCTTCTGTGAATATTTGACTCATTTCAAGCATATCTACTTGTTCGCTTGGTCTGTACACGCAACCATTTAAATATTTTTTATCATTTGCAACTATAATGATCCATATTTGTTCAATTTTACTTCTACTTAATATACTTTCGTTTACCTTATAAAATATTAGGTTGCTATCTATATATAGCGCAACCCCTCCTCCTCCCCCCTATTTCGTTTATAAAAAGAATATCCTTTCAAATAAATTTCCAATTTCTCATTAAACTAGGTTTCTGTAATAGCAATTATTTGAGGATTTTTAAAACTGTATAAGATTTTAAATTCTTCAACTTTGTTTACTAAAGATGTTGCATTCGTATATAAAATATTAAATGATAACAAACTTACTAATTTTTTATGTTGCTGTGTTAAGTTGTATTTTAAATTTGAGAATTCCATTTCCACGGATCGCATATCTAAAGGGCGAGTTTGCTATTCTTTCACTATTCATTTTGTCACGTTTCTTTCTAAGCTCATAGTTTTCCATTCTCTCTGCTTCAGTTAAATCAGGCGAAATAAAAACCTCCTTGTAATCTCTTAATAATTAAGATTTTGCTAAAATTGGATTTCTCTCAGAATCTTTATTTAAAATCACTAATAGTGGTCACGGAGGGCTACCACCCTAAATACCAGTGGATTACCTCCTGATCTCTGAACTTTTTGAACTTTTAACACCTTATTACACAGGGACTAAAAAGTTTCAGTATGTGTTTTTTTCCGTTTTTTATGTGTTTTATTCATCAATAAATTTTAAGTTTCAAAGGAAAATATTTTAGGGTTCAAAAATTATTACCATGTTAAGTTTAAACTCCCCTCAATTTGAGAGGGTTGTAAATTTTATATGGTATTAATTTTTGAACGCTAAAATATTTTTCTACGAAATTTAAAATTTATTGATGAATGCAAGTCTAGTTGAAAATAGTTCAAAAACTATAACATCAACTTGTTGCTCTTACGTTTGGGGCAGGTACGGCTAAATATTTTGCGCTTTTTTGTTCCCAAGTTCCAATCATCGTAATTTTTTGCAAAACATCCTTATTTGACATAAGTATAAACGTATAAATTTTTGCAGTTTGCTCCATGTCTAGAAGTTAGCAATCTCAAAGACCAAAAAATGTCTAGGTTAACTTTTCCTTAGTGTGCCTATACCTTTTCTTCTTCTGTTCCTTTTGTAACTGCCCATGAAGATATAAAATAATGTTCTACACGATTGCGAATTTCCTTTGGGATCTTATAAATTGAGTTAAATTGGCGAATCGCTCTAAGTTGTGACATGTATTCATTTGTAGTTTCGCTCAACTGAGAAATAATGTTGGTCACTTGTCCGAATATGAAAGCATACATTAAACCTAGTTATTTATAATCAGTAAGAAATAAGAAATATATTATAACAGAATAATTGTATTTACAATGATACAAATTATACTTACAACCAAATACCATGGTAACCACTCCAAATACCTTTTCAGCAAATGTGTTTGGTGCGATATTTCCAAATCCACATGTTGTCAGACTGCTCAATGAGTAATATAAGGCCGAGACATATACTAATGTTCTTGATTGGTTATCAACTTGGAAGTCTGTTATATTTATATAACTTGAACTGTTATATTGAGACACCATAGTAAACAACCAACTATCACTTCTTTCGTTGGGAATATCAACTTCTCTAGCTATCAAAATCCTAAAAAATAATTTGAACTTATTTTATTTGTTTATTATCTAATGTATATTATAACATAAAAATAACATATAATGTACCATATGCAAGCCATCCAATGAGCACAAAGGCAGAATACTAGTATCCATATTGCAAGAGTGATAACTCCATTTTCTAAGTATTGCGCAAGTATGTCTTTGACTTTAACCAAACGAACCAAACGAAAAACCTTAACCACTCTTACTATGGTAATCAATTTCTAAATCATTAAATATTTTTAATCATTAAAAAAGTCTATGTAATCTCGATAATCTTTACGTTGTAAAGATACACAACATAAATAACCGCAAACCATAAAAAGGAAAATATAACTTAAGGTTTAAAAAAATAAAAGTTTGTAAAATGCTGAAATAAATGATATATGACGAGAGAAATAGGTGGGGGGGGGGGCAGAAATAGTGTTTTTTTGTGCTTCATTAAAAACACTTAGAAAATGTGTTTTCTGTGAGTCATCATGTAACTCTTTTACAGATAAAAGTGCCAGAACATTTAAAATTATTGCTTGGTATTTGCTTCTTGCAGCAACAAATTTTGGTTCAAAAGACTTTAAAATCCAGTTTTGAACTACAGTTAGATGTTTTGAAGATCGAATCATTCTTTTGTAAGACTTATTCTTGAATATGCATCACCAATATGGAACCCTTATAATAAAAATGACATACATAAATTAGAAATTGTTCAACAGCAAGCAACAAAGTTGATTCCAGAGTTAAGACACCTACCCTATAAAGAAAGGTTAAAAAAACTCCAACTGACTTCTTTAAAAATCAGGAGATTAATATATGATTTAAATCAATATTATAAAATATTTCATAATTTAAACAAAGTGTGTTGGTATCAACAACCAAAAACAGCAATTTCAATTTCAGCAAATGGTCCAGCTTCAAACATTAGAGGACATAAAGCACGTGTAGATATTGAGCTAATAAAAAGAAACAGACCAAGGGAAAATTTTTTTACAAATAGAGTTGCAAAATGGTGGAATAAACTACCAGAAGAAATCATCTCCGCAAAAAGTGTAAATATCTTCAAGGACAAGCTTGATAAACATATGGTTATTATGAAACTCTGATCTCTATGACTAATATGAAACTGTTAATAGCAATGGGTCATAATAGATTCAACATGGCGTTGAATCTCAAGGAGTATAAATAAATAAATAAAATAAACAAATAAATAAATAAATTGCTGTGTGAATGGCAAATGTAGCCTACATTGCTGCATTAACAAAATCACCTTCATTGGGTCTATCATTTTAAAAAGATTCTTTAATAGATGGATAAAATTAGCAGCCAAAACTACACATACACTAATAAAGTCAATGGTTAGCGTTTTTCAAGATGATTCCAAAAAAAGACATTTAACTCCTGATAAAACGCAGAACGAGAAAGTAATTGTTAGCATTTGTATTAGTATCAAAATAGTATAATTTTCGTTGTCTGCTTTTTTTTAAAAAATTCAAAAACATGAATTTTGTTTAGGACAAGATGAAACAAAAAATTCAATTTTTGGAAAACGGGACAAAACGAAAACTATTGGGACGCAATATATATATATATATATATATATATATATATATATATATATATATATATATATATATATATATATATATATATATATATATATATATATATATATATATATATATATATATATATATATATATATATATATTAAATAGAAACAAATATTTTTAATAAGAATGTTTGGAAAACCTTGGAATTACAATGCAACAAATGTACCTTACGCGACAATGGTCTTAATTGGGATGATGGCGATTATGTGACAACGTCATTTTGGAAACCTATGTTAAAATTCTTACGTCACAAAAAGCTCACTTAAAAAACTTTCATAAAGAAGCTCTTACAAAAAACATTGTTTCGTATATTTAAACGGTTTTGTATAATACAGCGGTTTTATTTTTTATAACGGTTTTTAATATACTTGATAACGAGGGTACCAAGTATATTAAAAACCGTTATAAAAACCGTTATGATAACGAGGGTATATATATATATATATATATATATATATATATATATATATATATATATATATATATATATATATATATATATATATATATATATATATATATATATATATATATATATGTATGTATATATATATATATATATATATATATATATATATATATATATATATATATATATATATATATATATATATATATATATATATATTTATATAAATAGTAAGAATATCACTTTTATACAGGGCCGGCGATAGGGGGTGTATGAGGGGGGGACACACCCCTAAACACTAAATCTTAGTCGGCACAAACAAGGCCACATTAGTCAGTCGGCAAAAGTCGATTACGTATGGCAAATTTAAAAATTGAGGACCTTTTTTAAGTCGGCAAAAGTTGTAATGGCACCCAAAAATTCCCTGCCCCCTCTCCCCCACGTGACACCTACTCGCGCCGGCCCTGCGTTTACTATTAACATTTTTCGGAATTTTTTTGAAAATTATTATGTATAAAATAAATAATAATAGACAAAACTAAAAAAAAAAATTAAAAAAAAGTTTTTTCTTTGATAAAATGTCAGTTCATTCTAGTTTAAATGTAAATAAACCTTTTAAAACTTTAATACTCAAGAATTTTAAAACTTTTTACCAAATCTCAACACTGTTCTTGTAAGCAGTATTAAAAAGCAACAGTTTACCGAATTGAACTTAACTTACCGAATGTTTATTAGAAGTATAATCAAGCAAACCATAAGGCAAAGCTGATAGGAAGTCAAAAGCAAACCAAGTTTTAAGATACCTTAACCTAATTTTTGGTAAATTTGTAACCAAAACGCCATCGTCGTCAACAAAAGATGTAAAAAACGTAGTAACAATATCAATTACAACAAAAACGTTGCATACCAGGTCAAATGCAGTCATTCCACGGCTTTTATAATTAACACAAACAACAAAAGGTATAATTACTGCTGTATAAATAAAAGATATTACTAATATAAAAAAGTCCCACAACATTTTTGCTGGAGATGAATGACTAATGACGTACTTCGGGACTTTTAACTTGCATCCATACTCCGGTATAAATAGCGTGTCATAGTAGTTGTAAAGCTAAATGAAAAACAAATTCAAAAATGATTCTATAAAACATATTTAAGAGAAATCCCAGTAACCAATATGTTTTAAGAAATAAAATAACGATGTTATAACATCGTTATTACTTAAAAGATGTCTTTTTTACAGGATATTTAAAAAAATGTTTTTTAAAACCAATACTATATTGAATATTGATAAATAAATACCAATTAACTAAATCAATATTAGCTATGTAATTCATAGCACACAAGACACAATTATGCTGAAACCTTTCAATTTACACGTTTTTTACGAAACATTTTAATAATCTTTTAAAACAACTTTTTTGTTACCGCTTTGTTTAAATAATGTACCAGGTAAATTGGCACATTGCTTCTCTGATAAAAAGATGCTGCTTTGCCAAAATCTATTCAAAAAAAAAAAAAAAAAAACATTTTTCTAGTCTTTTTCCTGAAAAAGTGCTTGGTGTAGCACTAACGTTAGTGCTGTAAATAGCAATGTTAGTATCAAGTTTAGCGTTAGCGTAATAACGCTACAAAACTAAGTAAACCTCTCTGTAAATAAAAATATGCTATAAGGATTATGACAAATCAAAGTTATTTATGCCATTTTAGTAAATTTAATATTTTTAAATAAAGTATTAATTATATTCTGATGTTTATTTTCAAACTTGATAAAAAAACATCTTTCTTTTTTAACTAACTTTTTAAAACGGGAGCAGCCTTAGCGCAGTAGTTAGCGCGCTTATTTCAGAAGCCAGAGATCCGCGGTTCAACGCCACCTTTGGGTAAGTTTTATAAAATAGGTATAGAAGGAGGCATGAACTTGCATTCAAATACTCTTTCGCGGTGCTCTTTGATAACAAATTTGAAATTCTTGGTGCACCTAAAATAAAATATTACATAAAAAAAAAAAAAAAAACAAGCACAAGATTTTAAATTCGATGAAAAACTTATCCTTCAGCCAAAATTTTCAATTGTTTGTCGACCTAATTGATAAAATACGCGATAGAATAAAAATCTTATTTTTTTTTTCATCGCTTTATCATTCAATAAATTATGAATGAATGACAAAGACCTTTTTCTGAGACATTTAAATCAGAATCATTCATTAGTTTATCTTTTGCGTTATGGATTTAATTGTCATTATAAAAAAAAAACTGTTACAGTATATGCGATATTAATATAACGGGTTAACTCTACCATTTTTTTTATTTTTAGTAATAAATATTTCCATAACACAAAAAAATAAATAATGGTATACTCTAATGTCTTAGAAAAAATTCTACGTAATTTTAAGCGTAAATTTTATTATATTGAAAGATTTATATTTATAAACGTTATGAGATAGGCGTTGTTAAAGTAAAGTTTACTATAATAACATTCAAAAAAATAACATTTTGATCATAACGCTTATAAGAAAATAAGAACATGTAGAACATACCGGTGTTAAAAAATTTTCAGCATAATGATTAAGTTTTTTTGTTTGTTTGAAATAAACTTTTTAAAATACATCTTCTATACTTACTGGGATGCACCAAGCATTACAAAACTATGGTTTGTTTTAAAATATGTTTATATTTGGGATGCACTAATTGTTACAAAGCGATGGTTTGTTTTAAACTATGTTTAAAAGATATAGCCTAAAACAAATTTTGAATAGCTTTTAACATTAAAAAAACAAAATTTACATATAATTACGAAAATTTGTAATGTAACTTTACAGTTGATAAAGATGTTTTATTGTTTGGAAATATGTCTTCATGTGTAGGTTTATTTAAGATCTTCTTCACAGCTTTTTTCCATCTTAGTCTTGGTGAAGCTAAAGTATTATAAGAAATTATTTAATATATATAATAAGAAATAATTATATATATATATATATATATATATATATATATATATATATATATATATATATATATATATATATATATATATATATATATATATATATATATATATATATATATATATATATATATATATATTTAATATATATATATATATGTATATATATATATATATATATATATATATATATATATATATATATATATATATATATATATATATATATATATATATATATATATATATATAATAATATAAACATAAATGAATACGAATTCTCTCAATAATAATTTTTTTATTTAATCTATAAAAATTATCGCTAGATTATTTATACTAGCATTTTCAGCTTCAATTACAAATTTACGATTTGTTTTTAATTGAATTTAATTAATAATTTGTAATTGAAGCAGAAGATGCTAGTATCAATAATCTAGCGAAAATTTCTTAGATTAAATAAAAAAAAAAAATAGTATTGAGAGAATTTGTATTCATTGATGTTCATATATTATATTGATTCAATTCTCATACAAGATGTCGTCATTTAAAATTTATTTTACAGCTAAATACGGAGCTGAACTTTATTAAGAAACAAAAACATTACAAGCAAAAACAAATATGACAAAATCGAAAAATCAATTTATCTCAAAAATGTATAAAACATAAATTATTACCAATATCGGATCGAATTGCATATATTAAACTTAATAACAAAAGATAACATAAGTGTAAGGTAATGATTTGAATTACTAATATGTATTAAAAATGATCCTAGAAATCGTTATTTTAATCAAATAAAATTAGTTAAAGATACCCAAAACTGTTTATATAAAAATTCAACTCAATTTTACTGAAAAATCCCGAGATAAAATGTTTGTTAAATCTAAATATCGTGTTATCAAAAAGTTTAATATCTTAAAAAATTCAAATCTAAAATTCATTTCTTAAAGATGTCGTGTTAAACCTATGTGAAACGGAAATACCTGAAAACCACAGAAATCTTTTAGAACTAGGACCTAAATTTGTTCCAACTATACAAAATATACCCTATTTAGACAATATTTCAGTAACAGAATCCACTGCGTTAAAATATACTAGATATTGCAACAAAATAAAGAGTTCACAAGACTTACGCAGAAACGTGTTAAGGCAACTTAAAAACCGCAAAAAAATAGTTTTTAAATCATAAATAGTTGGAAGCATTGAAACAAATTAAAGATGACAAAAACATTGATATATACTCTTTTAATAAAGAAGCAGGCTTTGTTAGAGTAGAACACAACAAAGCCATTGACAAAATTTGTCAAGAAATTGGCAAAACAAAGATAATTAAAGAGGACCCTATCATTAAATTTGCTACTAAAATTAGAATTTAGGTATCAAAATTGAACCAAAAAGGGCAATTTTTCAAAAAAGAATATGAAAGTCTTTACCCAAGCAACCCAGTACCGCCACGTGTGTATGGTGTATTTAAAGCGCACAAACCAGAAAAATCATACCCCATGCGACTAGTAATTTTAACCATTGAGACACCAAGTTATTGAATATTACATTATTTAGTAAATACATTTCAACCAATTTTATTCAAAAACATAGCAAAGTTAAAAAACTATCAATTTTTGTACAAATAGCTAAACTTTTGAATATATAAAACTATGAAATAAAGGTATTTTATGACGTTGTCAATTTATATCCATCAATTCTTCTAAGAGAGGCCACAAAAATTCTTCTTGATATGTTAGAGCTCTTCCAAAATTTAAATAAAATAACAAAACTAATCGTTTCAGAAATGAAATCACTAATAGAACTGTGTTTATATAAATGTTATGTTTTATGGAATAAAGAAATTCACGAGCTTGTAGATTCAGGTCCAATAGGACTTTCACTCATGGTAATACTTGCGGAAGGTTTCCTGCAATTTTTTGAAAAAAAAACCAATAAATATTGCACTTCATTCGAATCCACTGTTAGAAATAAAATCATTTTTGAGGTACGTAGATGATAGCCACGGAAGATTTACAAATAAAGATGAATAAACATCCTTTTTCAACAAATATTAAACAGTCAACATTATGCCATTAAATACACAATTGAATTGGTTGATGAAAACAAAGGATTAAGTTTTTTAGACATCCAAATAACCAATAATCGAAAAGGTAATTATAATTTTAACATGCATCGAAAAAAAGCAATAACAAATATTCAGGTTAAGCCCAATTGAAACCACGATCCAAAAATTGTAGAAGGAATATTTAAAAATATTATTCATTGGGCTTTATCAATTTGATCTGAAAAAAAAAAAAAAAAAAGTTTTTATATAAAGAAATCGATTTTCTAATGTGTTTACTGAAAATGAACACGAAAAAAAAAAATTACAAGACCTTGCAAATATTTTTATAAAAAAACGACACTCAAATAATGAAATTGTCTTATCTAACAACGAAGCCTCCATGATCACTACCGTGGATCCCAATTATTAACGCTAAAACTTTGAAAAATCTTTATGAAAGCAGGTTTGACGGCAGTCTTTAAATCTAGTGCAAATCTTAAATCTTTGCTAACTTCACGCAACAAAACAAAGCTACCATCAAATAGCTATTCCGGAGTATACCTAATAGAATGCGAATGTAAAATACATAGGTGAAACAAAAATGAAAATAACAACAAGGTCAATGATGGTCAATATGTAAAAACGTAATTCTGGACGCCGTTTTTTTTATACTTACGTAACATCAAAGAAGCCCAATTAAAGCGAACTTTAAAGAAGCCATTAAAAAGTGACGTAACTATTTTTTGTAACTGAATTTAATTTGTAATTAAAGCTGAAGATGTTAGTATCAATAATCTAGCGAAAATTTCTTATATTAAATAAAAAAATTAGTGTTGAAAGAATTCGCATTCATTGATGTTCATATATTAAATTATATATAAATTTTTTATCTGAACCAAATCTAATTTATAAGTGGCGGACTTATTATAGTGGCGGGATAGCTCAGTTGGTTAGCGTCAAAGGAAAAGTTAAAACCCGGACTGTTGAACGATACGAGTTCAATTCCCGTCACCGCCAACTCAGCGCGAGTAGTACTTCAATATGCAAAAATGTAGGTCAATAACGAACGCTACTTTGGATTAGTTTTAATATATATATATATATATATATATATATATATATATATATATATATATATATATATATATATATATATATATATATATATATATATATATATATATATATATATATATATGTATATATATAACAACAACAATAACAACAACAATAACAATATACTTCGTGTAACAGATGTTACAAAAACACAGGTCATTGCAAATAAAGCGCAATGACCTAAATAAAATAAAAAATAATAATAACAATAATAATAATAATATACACTTAGTAAAACTACATAAAAAATAGGTTATAAAAGGAAGTTAAATAACATAATATTAACTAATAAAAGTAAAATTGCATAAAAATTTATGTAGTTATACCAAAAAAATCAGACTTTTTGAATATATATAACATAATTAAAATAATGCACATTTATATATGGACATATACTTTAACAAGAACTATAAATAAAATTAGTAAATTATAATAAAAATTATAATTTAAAATAAAATATTAAAAATAAAATTATAATAAAATAATAAACTATAATAAAAATAAAAAGTAAGTCAAAAGGTAGAAAGAAAGAAAAGTAAAAAGTAAAGTTAAGCGTAACCTTTTAGGTTGAAATGATGGAGTGACTTTAAGAACAGACTCTTGAACCTATGGATGAGACCAGGTTTTTGGTGTTTGGAAGGGAATTCCAAGAAAGGATACACTGGTATGTAATGGAATTAATTCCATGTTTACTTGTCTGTTTTAGTGGAAGAGTTAAGTTGTTATAGGTGACTGATCTTAGGTTGTGCCTACATGTTGTTCTGTTATTAAAGTAGTTGTGAAATATAGTAGGAAGGACACCATGTTGTTGATCCCAGACAAATGAACAATTTAAGAACTGAATTAAGTCATAGAAACGAAGAATTTTGGATGTAAGATATAGGATGTCAGTAGGAAAATTTCTCGGACAAAATTCTTTTATGACGTCAGAAGTTGTTCTACCGTGTTTTTTAATTCATTTGTAAAAGAGTTTATTTTTTAAACGATTTTTTTAACGGTTTTTTTTTGTAGTTAGCTTTAATGCAATATATTTTTCGATAAAAGATCTTACAATCGAGGTCATTTACAAATAGTTAAAAACTAATCTAAAGTAAATACCATGAAATAGGATTGATAATACAAATAATGACGATAATAATAATGATGATAAATTAAAAGTTATAAGAATAATAAGAAAATTATATGATAATAAACCAATATCAATTTTAAAACAACAATTAAATATAATGCACAGACAAGTAAGTTACAAACAGTTGTGTACTGACAAAACGTAACAACCTACCATGTAACTAAAACAATTACGGCAAAAAAAAGTAACAATGATTTAATAAATATTATAATCTTAATATCGATAATCATAATAAAAACAATAAAAGTAAAATAAATACTTCATTAAAAAATAACAAAAAATAAACAAAACAAAAATTATTGAATAATACTCACAAATAAAAATATTTCACACAACCACACAAACGTTTAGTCACGAAAAGTATAGAGTTTTCTTAAAAAATGACAAAAGTAAATCATATCAAGCATACACATATCGTCACTTTAAAATAATAAAATTTAAAAAATATCCTTTTTTTAATCTTCAAAAACGGAGCAATTTTTATATTTTATTTTTAATTATTTTCCATTTTCGAATGTTTTTTTTCTTTTACATTAGATTTTTTGTCTTTCCTTTTTCTTTTCTTGTTAGTTTTTTCTTTTGTTAATTTGTTTGATTAGTTTTTTAATTTTTTTTAGTTTTTTCTTTTTTATTTCTTTCTTTTCTTCATTCTCTATATTTTATTTTACTTATTTTT